ATTTTGACAGCTGTCAATTGACCTTAATTTGGCTTGCCAATATAACCGCCAACTGATAGCCTTGCCCGGCGTAGTTTGGTTTTTATGCTGAATTGGTAAGTGTGACATATTATATCAGCTTATATGTAGGGGCAAAACGACTTGTCTTTCATCTGAGCCCGCGAGATGGTCTTGTGATAATTGTCAGCGGAAGTCTGATTTTGATAGCTTTCAATCTAATCGTACTCATACGGATGGCTTACATAACTAAGAGGCTAGTCAAGTTGTGCAAGATCTATTGTGACATTTGACATCGGCTTACATGAAGTGTGTGTACGGGTGGGCGGGCGTACGTACGTCACAACCAAATTTTCTCGGATGGATAGTTTACCAAATTTTCTTACCCATGGTGCTCCGCCGCTCGCGCGAGAGCTCTGCTACAAATTATAGTTTTAGCTATTTGTTGACGTTTGTCAGCGTTTAAGAGACCGTCTCACAAAAAAAGCATTTTCTTAAAAATTCGTACTTTTTTTTCCCTTCAAATTTTTGGAGGGCCACAATTGATTAACTAACTACCTGGATTCTGAATTTCATGATTATTGAAAAACTGTGACATTAGGGCCATTTAAACGAGGAAAAATAAGACGCGTCTGACATAAGACGCGAACTGTGTTATTTACACGAGCATGTCTTATCTAAGACGAGAACAGCTCGTATAAATGGTTCGCGTCTTATTTCTGTTCTTGACTCGTTTTCATGTGAATGTTGCCCGTAGCAACGGCAACCAACAAGGCGCAAAAATTTTCCCGCCAAAAATTAACGCATGCGTACCATGCGTTCGCGTCTTATGTAAGACGCGAATGTCATTTATACGAAGTTTTTCTCGTCTTAGCTAAGACGCGTCTTAGCTAAGTCGCGGCTTATTTTAGACGAAATGTGCCGTTTATACGGAAAGTTTGCGTCTTATGTAAGACGCGTCTTATTTTTCCTCGTATAAATGGCCCTAATATCTTCTATAAGCCCAAACTGGAGTAAACATTGAAGATTTTTAGCGTTTTGGCTGAGTTTGTGCTTTGGGAGTTTTCTATTGTCTCTAGTCTGTCATGATACAGCATTCTTGTTCAACACGCGTGCAATGACCGCGCTTGGCTGACTTCCGAATGTTCACCGAGATATGATATTTTTGTATGAGAAAATAGAAGTGATTCCCGTCACGTAACATCTAGACATGAACACTCTCAGCGCTTAGTGCAATAATTAACACCTTCAGAAGCCACTTAAGGCTCCTGACACCTTTGACGATTTTCAAGTTTTGAAAAAGATGGCTGACAGTCATCGAAACTGTCAGCATCATTAAGACTTTTCTTGTTTTTGATTTGAGAACATTTAAATAGTTATAATCACATGTATGTAACTGGAGGCCTTATAAGTGGCGGGGAAGGGGCTTATAATCGGTTGTTACGGTATGTGAGATTTTTAGCCAGATGACAGACTGGGTTCAAGCCTTAGTTGAGTAGAAAACAGGAATGAAATGTATTAAAAAGTTTTAATCCATTCTCATTTTTTGTTTTGCTATTTTAAAGCAGGTTTACAGGCTGCGATTGGGTGCCCGATTTCCAAAGAAAATATATGGCGAAGCAACAGATCATTTTAATCTATCCGATTTTTGGCCAGTTTATTTCTTTTGAAAAAATCATAGCGTGAAAACCGCCTTACAGCCCTCCAGTGACAAGAGCAAGTTTTCTTCAACAAGGAAAACTTCCCCCGCCGTTAAAAAGGTAAGGGGGAGTTCCGTTATGTTACGAGCCTCATTATGTTATAAGCTCCATTATCTTACGTGCTACTTGACTCACAATTTCGTTATCGCGCGGCCGGAATGAAGCTGCCCCTAACATAAACGTCTCACAAAAATATTTTGCGACTAGTATATTTTGAAAAAGTAGGTTCATGTTCTATATTATGTAACGTCTGCTACAGCAAAAATGAAAACGAAGACAACATTCTCTTTTTTTGATTGACTCTAGATCGTAATAGCCGGGGAGGCTACTCAACACGGTTTTACATTGGGAGGCTCCGCCCCGAGGACTAACACCTTAAACTAGCACTTACCATTTTTGACAGAAAAGATTGTATACCGTTTGTATACCTTCTATTGGCCGTATTTAAACTAGAGACGGATTATCCGCCGGAGACGGGTTATCCGGTGGAAAGTTCGCGTCAAGCAGATAATCGTCTTATATGATTGCACTTAAGCCTTCCTCTTCAGTTATGGGGCCATATCCTGGCTGTAATAACGAAAAAAATACATCCGAATATAATCCCCACCGGGTATAATAAGCTCCCCTCTTGCTTGAACTGAATTGAATTCGATTTATAGCCTTAATTAACGACCGGTAAATGCAAAAAACTCCTATTTTGATCAGCAATGCTACAGCTTATTTCGAAGCGCTTTTTCTATGCCATCTATAGGCCCCCTCGGATATTAAAGCCCCTCCGTTTGTACGCCTTTGTATAAGCAACAGTTTATGGTAATAGTTTAATACTGAAGACGCTCTGTTTAGAATAAGCCACATTTAACAGGACTGGATGTAACTCTATGTCGATGAACTTTGTCTTCGGCACCAACCATACAAACGGTCCAGACCTATAAAATTTCTCTCGACTTTGAGGATCTATTTCTTCGTCACTTTTCAACAAATCATTTTCAAAACTTGGCAGTTTTTACTAATTTTAAGGCCTTTCTTTTCGGTGGTGCCAACTGCTTAACTTCTCTATATCAAAAGTCGACAAAAAGAAAAGAACCTGGAATGGTCTGTCCTGAATTGAAAGATGTACCCTGTTGGGAAGAACCTCCCCGTATAGGTTATTGTGGAGAGCCCCCATCTCCCCCTCCCCCCACGTTCCCAACCCTTCTCCAAGGTATAAGATATGGGTGTTTAAAAATAAACACACTAACACTAGACACGTTGAGGCTTGCATAGCTGAAGCTTAATGGAGCCGCCACTTTTTCTGATATAGCAACACAACATTGCCAACTTCTAATGAAGGCAAAATATTATTTTTGGCGCACTAAAGAGGAAAGACATCGAGTACCGTCAGAAACGCAAAGTTGTAATAGCATGCATAAAACTTTGCTGCTTTTGTAACAATTTATGTTCTGTAATTTATTTTTGGAATGTTCATCTTTTGACCCTGTTTCAGTACTCTGAAGCTAGCTTATAAACAGAGAATAAGAAGATGCCAAAAATTGCCGTAAAAGGAAAAACAAACAAGCAAAAACAAACAAACAAATTATACAGGAACAGAGGATTTACATAAAATATTTGCTATAAAATGAGTGAGCACGTAGCACTGATTTCAGAAAACGCTGTCTTCTCGTTCAACTCTCACCGCCATGGTTCAGTATTTCGCTGTTTTCCTGATTCTCTCTTTTTTTGGCGGCTCACTGGGAACAACCACCTCACCTCAGCAACGAAACGATTCAAAGTTAAAAGACTTATGCCAGGTAAGAAATGCATAGAGACATAAAAAAGGGGAATTGCGCCGTAGATTAGGTACACCCAGAAACTGTTTTACTAGTCTCACGTCGTTATGATCATTTACTAAATAGTACCCGTTAAAAGTGTATGGCAGTTTATTTAAAAGTCCTCGCTTCAGCATGATCTTTCCTCGAAAACCTGATGCCTGTCTATTGTTAACTGATAATTTTCTCCGATTCCATCCAAGTCCATTCGAGGCGAGATAACGCTTTAACTTTAACAGTAGCTAGAAACCTAGGCTCATGATTTGATGAGCAGCTCACTATGTCAACTCATATTAACAAGTTATTTGGTGTTGCCTTTAACCATTTGCATAATATCAAACGCATTCGCAAGTATTTGTCTCGAGAATCAACGGAAATGCTTGTCCACGCATTTATTACATCTCGTGTTGATTACTGTAACAGTCTTTTGTATTGGTTTCCCAACTACCAGCTTAACAAGTTTTGAATGCCTCAGCCAGGCTAGTTTGTAATGCCCCTAGGTTTTGCCACATCTCACCCCTTCTTCGTGGTCTGCATTGGCTTCCTGTTAAAGCCCGGATAAAATTTAAGATACTGCTTATTACGTTCAAAGCAATTCACGGCCTTGCTCCTAAATATCTACGCGATTTACTAACATTTAAAATCGTCCTTATGTAACCTTAGATCTTCCGGTAGTGTTTTATTTTCTATGCCAGCTGTTCGATCAAAGACGTTATGTGATAGAGCTTTTATGGTAGCAGCGCCAAGGCTCTGGAAATCTCTTCCAAAAGAACTTCGTGCGATTAATAATGTGAACAGTTTTAAGGCGCATATTAAGACTCATCTTTTTAGAGATTTATATTGGTGAGCAATTTTATAGTTAGTTCTTACTTGCATGCATATATATTCTTTTCATTTTTTCATTTTTTTCTTTTTAAATGCATTATCTTTTATTAAATGCTTGTAAAGTAATGCATTTGTAATGCGCAGCTGATCATTCTCATGTTAAGCTGCGCACAATAAGTTCAAAAATTATTATTATTATTATTATTATTATTATTATTATTATTATTATTATTAAATAGGATTATGATGTCCAAGGTCCATTTCTTGCCTCGAAAACAAGGGAGACGGCTGGCGGGTACAGACTTTGTTCATTTGGATGTGGAATCATTGTTTTCGAGGGAGCTACGGGCGTGTACGAACGTATTTATCGTTTCAATTCCAAGTGAGAAGGAAAGAGAAATAATTATGCGAATTCTTTTTCGTTGCTGTTCTTAATCTAAGTAATGGTGACATTCATAATTTCTTTGAGACAAGGTCTGAAAACTGGTGTGAATTTCAGAGTCTGAAAACGAGTGTAAAAATTGACGTGTTTTGGTCTGAATTAGCGTCAGGATTTGGTGAACCGGGTGGCACATCCCCACCAAAAATCTCTGGAGTATATCCCCCCCCCCCCTCCCCGAGTGATTTACAATCGTCTCTGCTAACTACAAGTAATCTTTACTTTTAGCGATCTATGCTGGGTTTCCCTGGTATTCCAGGATCAAATGGGATACCGGGAGTGCCGGGCGTCCCGGGGCCACACGGACCACAGGGAAGGGAAGGTGTCAAAGGACAAATTGGTGATAAAGGATCACAAGGAATGCCGGGACCAAGAGGAGACAGAGGGCGCGAAGGACCCCCTGGGAAGAGTGGACAACGAGGAATAAAGGGAATGAAAGGAGACCAAGGAGCTGTGGGAATTAAAGGAGAGAGAGGAATTGTGGGAAATCAAGGAAGAAAAGGAGACAAAGGAGAGAAAGGAGAAAGCTTCAAAGCAAGTCAAACAAGTGTAGTACCACAAACCATCTGGAAACAATGTGTGTGGAAATCAAGCATCAGTACTGATAACGGAAAGATTAAGGTAATTAGAATAAGAATCATAACAAACTCTAAAGGAAAGTAATTCCTTTCTAAATTAAAATATTTCAAAGGAGAACGTCTCCCCTCTCACTCACCGTTTGCCAACACATTACATAAATAAATAAGTTACATTTCTATCTACTTTGGTTCTTTTTGAACGAAAAAAGGAAAGCAATCTTGGGTGATAAAATGATTCCTGGCAATATGGATAAGGACAACGAAAATTGAAGCTATTACAGAGTTCTTAAGAATTGAGAAGTAATCTTGACTGGAGTTGTTAGTATCAATCATTACACACGGTTGCTCGCCTCACTACAATATATGTTTGATTTGTTTGATTTTTATTCCAGGACTGTGCGTTTAACAAACTGCAGTCTAATTCAGCGCTCAGAGTCTCATTCCAGGGAAACATGAGGGTCGACGGTACTGGTCCTAAGTGTAATCGCTGGTATTTCAAGTTCAATGGAAATGAATGCAGTGGACCAATGACGATTGAGGCTGTTGTTTACAACAACTGGCCATCTCGGAACCCTAATCTGCTGCATCATCGGTCATTTGAGGGGTACTGTGAAAACATTCCACAAGGGGCTGTTAGAGTGGAATTATGGGTAGGACAGTGCAGTGGCTACACCTTGGGTGATGCTCACACTGGGTGGAATTCAGTATCTCGGATAATGATTGAAGAAGTATCTAGGCCCCAGTCCTAATAAGGGGAGTCTTTAACTTTGGCGCCGTTTTAATTTCCTTCGAATAGCATTCTACAAATATAGACTGTAAAGCGCAAGGTGCGAAAGTATTGTTTTTGGTTATTTTCTTTTTAGCCATTTGTAAACTGCTTTCGTCGTACACCAGATTGTCAATAGCAAACTCTTATAACAGTATCAATATTTTGTATTATTATGTCGGCATGTTAGTCCTGTGCAGCAGTTCTTTGTTTTGTCACGCAGTGCTTCTCTAGCTTTTTCCGTTGAGGCACCTTTCGTGACGACACAATAACCGGCTGAGCCCGTAGGGAATTGGTCTTCCATGCAGCCGTTTGCCTTGTCACGCACCGCTACTTCTCGTTGCTTGACGAGACAAAATGGCTCTGATTAAGAGCAATTGATTGGCAATACTTTTTGTACGTGATATGTTATGGATGCAAAATTTATCACTACAGCTTCAGGGGAGCCCATTCTTTCTCGGGTTACCATGTATATCATCCGATTGTCGGTCGTTTCCTAACTATAATATGTAGTCAAAATAGAGGTCGTGATGTAATCTTTCATCTCAACGATAAAAAAAAATATCTGCGGAGGAGGTAACCGCATTTAAAATCTTTAATCCAATCCGGAAGTGAAAACGATTTAATCAAATCGTGCTCAAAGGCACGATTCGTTTTGTAGTCAAACCGCTTCGTGGCAAGACCATTATTAAAAGCGGATTAGATCTCGAGGATTAAAATCGCACCTTGTAAAATTTATATCAATTACTAGGAAGATGAATATGATGATAGAATAACTTGATTATCTCTAGCATACGTGGCAAACGTTCGAAAGGCAGCGGGGGAAGGGAATTTAAGAGCGAGACCGCGCGCAAGGGAGAAGCGAGGACAGGAACGCGTTCTCCTTCCTCATTCCTCGCGCGCCCTTCACGCTTCTCACGCACCCAAAATCTCCTTTTCCTTCCCTTTGGAACGCCTGTCACGTAGGCTAGATTATCTCTCAAACAGTGGAAAAATGGAATGTTTTTTTTTTCGCAACATTGAGATTCTTTTCAAACCTTCGCATTACCTTAATGGCATCGTTGTTTTATTGCATGTCGGCTTAGTTTGCTTCAATGTGTCATGCATTAATTAATTAAAGCTTTCAATCATGATCATTGTTTCAATAGAAGACAGTGTCTTACAGTATGTACAAACCTTGTCCATTATTTTTCCGAACAAACAAGATTGAACTCCTTATGTCCGCTCCTTAACAGAGAAATTCCCGTAAAGTCTCACAATATCGATCAGTATCCAATGCAGTTATTTGCAGCCTTGCAGTTATGAAGAAAGAGGTAACTTGAAGTTCCCACAGTTTCTTAACCTAGAAAATGGGAGGGGGAGGGGGGGGGGGGGAGGCTCACAATCATTCGGATGCCTAAATCATCAGTACCGTATGGGTATACCCAGTAAGGGATACCGCATGGGTATACCTGATAGGGGATAACGTATGGGTATTCCCGGTTCGATCCCTGTAGAGGATGCCCATACAGCAAGTTATATCAAGTGAAGTTATGCCGGACCGTCGCAGCACGAACTTCCGTGAAGAGTACAATTCCTTCAATTAGAAAGGCTTTTAGTGCTTTGAACGTTTTTATTCCAAAGTTTAACTACTTTATCCTTTTCTGTGTTTTTTATGGATTCCTTGAAAATACTGACACTTTTGTCTTGGCCTGATAGCAACTGATCGCCCTTGGAATGTTATCTTTTCTGGCATCCTAACCGAGAACGTTTTCCCGTTGTTTCAGCCGAAGCCGGAACTAATAAAAGGTTATAATAGCCAAAACAAAAACAAAAAAAAAAAGGGACCTATAATAAAAGTACAAACGTAAAACAAGTGTCGACCCTGCACCGACCCATAGGAACTCCACTGATTTTGTATTTGAATTGGGTCGGAGGATACCTAAGACGCTGGCGAACAGGACGTTATCGAAACGATTAATTCATGACGCCAAACTTTTCACGAGCCGAACCTGATACATTGACTAAAGTACATGGAACGTTCTGCGTCATGAATCGCCTGGTTCAATTTGACACAGCTCAGCCGTTCTCTTCGCCTAGCCTGGCTGGGAATTTCGCCTTTGGAGCGACTTTGGAACGGCTTTGAATTAGACGCCGAACTTTTCATGTATCAAACCTAATGCATAAATTATTTTACGTATTTTGTAAGCAGTTTGACCGAAATGAGCATTTTTAGCCTTTTGAATCAATTCAGCTGGTCTAAATAATTGGGTTGGCCTTAATTCGAATTAGTTTCGGCTTATGAAAAGTTCAGCGTCTGAACCGGGCCTAAGACGGCCCCTTTTGTCGAATCCAACGTGTCTGTGCGAGTGAACTATATTGTAACAGTGTTTAATTAATTTTGTTAGATGTATTATTTACAATCTCACAATACTTTCTAGACTACAAACAGAACTCGGGGGGGGGGGGAGTACTCCCTTATAAGAGGCTAGGGGGGATGTGACGCTGGATGGGGTCGCATTTTCACAAATGGATTGACTACAACGAGGTTGCATATGTTTTCAATATATTTACTAGAATGGGTTCGCACATTTTTGCATTTTTTGGAGTAAGACGTCTTCATATTAACGAGCAAACGTACCGGAATGTTTGTACTGTATGTGAAAATTAAAGTGTTCTTCATTCGGTTTAAAAAAAATGGGTCAATTCATCAAAATAGAAAGTGACTAAGTTGGGATCACAAAAATTACATATTTGCCCAAAAGTGACTAAGATGGGGTCTATAATTGGTCACAAAATAGACTCAGTAATGGGGTAGGGGCTCTAAGAGGCCAGCAGCACATACTCAGCAAAAATTTACCCAAGTACCCCTTCACCCCCAGCCCCCCTCCCCCCCTTATGAAACAGAACCTTAAATGTATTATTCGCTTTAATATTGAATGTTGCAGAAAGTACATTGGTCAAATTTATACAGATAGTCATGTCCATGATAAAAAAAAGCTCTTAAATTACTGGATGACACTATTGGTAAGGTAAAGAGTTCAGTGACTTTTGGTTATGATCTATTTAAGAGTGGTTGTCAGAGAAAACCGGGCAAAATGTTAAAAATGTCAACGGAGGGGGGTTAACAGAATAAGTTCATACTAACATCATAGATAGGTTAGGTGGAGTAATGGACAAATATAATAAACATAGGTTTTTCACTACTCTTGTATTAGAGATACGAGCATCACTTTCTTCGACCCGCTCGAACGCCATTTTTATAAGCAAATTTTCACCATTTTCTGAAACTCACAGAACCCTCAAAATTTAACGAGCGAAGTTTATTTTTTGCATGCGATACAACACACCATAGAACTACTTTCTAAAACCATAACATTTGTTAAGCAGCCACGGACAAGACTAAAATTTTCTTATTTTATCTCACCTAAACTCAGTGTCTGCAAACGAGCAAAAAATCGGGCATTTTTGAATTGATCTACAGCGCACAACTAAAACGACAGAACAACTCTGTCAGCCAAATTGCAGTCTACTATCATCCATGTAACCAAAACAATAATAATCATTTTGGGCCATTGAAACAGGAAGAAATTAGAAAACTCACCTTTGTTATAGTTTCCAAGCTTTTTCTTGCAAACAGGCCGATCCCTTCGTGTTTGTTTTAAGTCCTCTTCGTGAATTTTCTTCCATATTTCGCTGTAAAGTATGTTCAGCAGCTGGAGGAAATATCAAAAAGCTCGAAATACTGCCTAGGTTACATGTTCAAAGGGCAAAAAGTAGTGAACAACAGGATGAAAGTAGAAAATAAGAGAGCGACGTCATCTAGAAAATTTAGCACTCAGGAGGCACTGGCACTAGTAGCTGCCTTGTCCGCAACGTGATGAATTACGAAATAGACAAAAAACAAAAACGAACAAACAAACCGGCTTATCAGTTACCTACTACAGTCCTATTTCTTCTTCAATCACTATTTTTAGTTAAATTTAGCTTTTTTGTATTGTCGGTTTTTTTTTTTTTATTTGGCGGAGTGATAGGGTGTGGTGAAGATGACCAACTGGCATTACTTTATTCAGTCTTCATTACTGGGCTGCCCGGCGAGCCCAGTCATAAAATGGGTTTTCGGTCGTCGGTGTCACAAAGTGGTCATCCGGAGGAGGGAAAACACGAGGGTCTGGTACGTGGAAACGATGTTCTCACAAATGGTTTCATAGGGTTTTCTCTTGCATGAACCCTTGCACGGATACTTTTTGTACCTACCTTGTCTGCGCTCCTCCTGAAAAACCCACAAGGCGTTGCGAACCTGAAGAAGGCTATTTGCGTTGTTCGAAGCTATTCGACCATGGGAGTAACTCTCTAATATTTTTATTGTTCGAGTTTAAGTCAGTTAGATGATGTTGGCGCTGGGAAACTCAGAGAAATGCTCGCGTTGCATTCAAACCGACACGCCGTTCACGGTAGGTTCACACTAAAAGACTGAAAAGATGACTGTGAGCGTCAGGTTTGGAACGCCGTGGCTGCTTCGTGAACTATCGATCGATGTAGTACATGAGCAATTAAGAAGCACAATTTATGAGCAAAGTATTTCACCAGTTGACGACACTATGGCTGAAGACTTGATTGTAAGCCGTCATAGTCAGTGAAGCGAACAACTCAGTTGCCGATGAATGGCAGATGAATCCTGATGTGAGGCACGTCTATAAGCGAGGGACGTGACAACTTTGCCATGTTAGAAGACTGGCTTTTCCTTTAAATATTTCCTTCTATTTAACGCAACACACGTCACTTTGGAGATCTACATTTCGGATACTGAGGATAAAGAAGACACGGACAACAAGAATCGCCGAAAGGCGATTTTTAACTGGGCTGCAAAAGGGGCTATTTTTTCTGAAGGGAGGGGGCGGATATACACACTCAGGCTACCATAAAACCTTGTCGGCAACCATTGCATGCGAGAGAACCTCATGTGAGACTGAAACATAAACTCATTCAGAACATTGTACCCTT